TTTTTGGTTGAAGAGGCGAGAAAGTTGAATTTTTCGCCGATCTCCGCCTCTCAAAGTGTCTCGCTGCTATTATTCCTAAGGACGCGCGCCCCTTTTGTCTCCTACGAATCGGATTATCAATCGTGTGAATTCCCTTTTGCTCAACAAGAGCGAGAATCACCTTGTTATCGCGTTTAATTCTTTACTCTCTCCGTACAAGGGTGCTCGTGCGCTGCGAACCGTGAAACTTTTCTCGCGCAGCGGCTCGTTACAATTTTGAGTTTTCGGGCGGTTTTACAAGGGTCTCTTCCTTGTATAGGCATTCCATTCTTTCCGCGACGCAAATTGCGATTCGGAATGCGCGTTTTATATACTTTGACAGATGTCTCGCACAAAAGATTTACATTTGCGTGGCACTCTTTCGCTTCACGATAGATATCGCGCGATGTAAAGAGCGTATCGATTATTCTCTCAATGTGGTTGTATTTATCTAAAATAAGCGGGAAATCGATGTCACATTGTGTTGACGCTACGCGATCGATGGAAAACGCTATCAAGACGTATTATTTAACGGATACGAGAGGAAAAGCATTTTATACAGCCGAGGGATTAAATCTTCGAGAAAGTACTCAAACTCAAATCCAGATTTCTTCCGCGAGCGACTCCCCGTCCATCCGATAATCCGTCGAGCTTTCGTCCATCTCGAATTATTCCGGAGGAGAGAACCGTCGCGTAAACTCCGCGCCAATGACAAAGACGCTTTATATTATTTCGAGCTTAATTTCGACTCGCATTATTCCGCTCGAGTGTCTCCCGATATTATTTCAACTGCGAAGGCAAAAGCATCGATCTGGCCGGCTCCCCGTCCCTTTTCCTTCGCGAGAGACGAAAGATTTTCCTTCGGCTTAATGCGAGGCTAGAGAGACGGAATACATAGAGAGGAAACGCAGAGTTGCGAGAAGGAAAGAGGGACGAGGAGCGAATGAGAGGGAAAAGGTTAGGTTAATTAAGGGAAGACTTAACGACGAGGGTTTGTCCATTCGTACTCTTCCGCTCTTCTTTCCCCCTCCCCTCCCTTCCTCTCGTCCCTCGCACCCCATTCGCCGAGGGAGTTTGCCTTGAGCTAACGCGGAAAGTTCTGGCGTGGATTTCTGAAATTCTAATTCTCGTTCCTCTAATCTGCGCTATCCTTCTTTTCACCGATGCCGTCGTACGAGCTCGCTAACTTCAAGAATGTTGCCGCCTCTTTTTGCAGAGAAAGAGAAAGAGAGAGAGAGAGGGAATCGAGGATAATTACGTGTAAGAGCAATCGATGATTCGAATGAAAAATAAAATTTGTAAAAAGAAGGAGAGAAAAAAGAGAAAGACGCCCTGAAACTTCTCTTTTAAAATCCACCATCGAGAGAAAGAGAGAGGGAGAGAGAGAGAGAGAGATGCGTTTTATTATTATAAATATTCTCCCGCGGCTTCTTCGTGGTTAAAGCATCAGTATTTTGGGAGTGAAATCGCATTTCGCGAAATCGCTCTAGAGCAACGACACACATTTCAAAGGATGTTCGCGAAACTGTATTATGCTTCGCGCCAGCGCGTAATATACTTACGCGATTACGGCGGATAATAATATTGTGCCCGTATATACTGCAGGTACACACGTAGACACCCACACGCGTACGTATACGCACACATGGAACGCGTTGTAACACGATAGTGTAACAATACCGGCGCATTAGCGTAATCTATAAGACGGCGCTTCACGCGCGCTAGTTGTATGCGTTAATACATCGCCATTGTGTGCGCCTGCAACAACTTACGAGGGTAGTCTATCACATAGGTACGTACATAATCACCTTTTCGTTCCTTATGTATTGTAACGAGAAGCCCCGCGGTCGATTGTAATATACTTCGCATAATTACCGCTAAATTAATATTCCGATTTACGTGCTTGAGTTTTAAATAAAGGCGCTGGCGGCAATTTTGTCAGAGATTTTAACGCGTACGTTTAATCGTTTGCCTGTTAATTTTTTTAAATTGAATAGTACATTGTGGCCCTTTAATCAACATCTTGTAATATACACGATGTAATGCCATGTTGTCAGATAAACAGGTATGATACGGTCGCGCGTAAATGACACGGTAGAATTTCGTATAATATACGTAAATCCTAGCGAGAATCTTAACGCTCGTGTCTCTCGGAGAGATTTAAGCGGATGAATAAAGTACGCCGTGGAAAATAACAAAAGGCCACACGTCGAGATTTGCCCAACTGCGGTGGGCGCATTCATGCAAAGTTAAACGTCGAAGAGCTTAGATACGTATTTCATCCGATGTCCCGGCACCGCAATATGCAAGCGAGGAAAAGAGATAAAGCGAAAGAGAGACGTGCTCGGACATTGCATCGTTTTAGCGTAGATAGGTAGGACGTTACCGGTTACCGCGGAAAAGCCCAGGAAAGTCGGATGTAGAGGGATAGCGAGTATGCATCTCTATGTGTGTGAAAGAGAGAGAGAGAGAGAGAGGGGAAAGGGAGAGGAAAAGAGAGAGAGAGAGACAGATGCAATCTAGGAACTCTCGGGAACCAATCTTCTCTGATGAAAATACCTTGTCCTCTGTGAGGTTTGATACCGCACCCGCGGGGGCCAATTTCGTTCATTACTTTTTGGAATACCGCGAGTTCGTTTGAATTGGACGGGAGTCCTTCCAAGGCAGATTCCAGAGGAGCATTTGGAGCATACGTGTCGAGGGCAAACACGTGTCGGCAAAAAGCAAAATCAAGGTGATCGGAAAATGGATTGCCCTTCAGGAAATCGCGCATACGAGATATATCTTGTACAAATACAGAACTCTCGTTTTTCGTAAAACATCTTCTTTAATCCATTTAATCGATTTGCATTAGCGGAATTTTAACATAAAAAAATTTCATTATACATAGATATAATTTAAAAATTTAAAATTTAAAGATTATAAAGGATCACGATCTCCTTTTAGATATTTTTGTCGAGAAGGATGAATTTTCACAATTTGCGGAAAGGTATCTATCAAACTAAAACTATCCATTTATTCCGTATTTTGTCCGTCTTATATGGATATTCGATTATATGGAGTGTTTTGAGTGGAACATTTCAGAAACACTACGGTGCATCCGGCTATTACTAGAAAGGGTTAGATCGCCCGAGGGATCATCCGAGAAATTTCAAGCTGGTCGACGGTTCCTCTCGGAATCTGCACTGCGACATTTACACTCTCACCACCTTTCTCCGTCCTTTCTCTTTCGCTCTCTCTCCCTTTTTTCTCTCCGTGCCTCGTTCCTTCTCCAACCCTGCCTTTTCTCCCTTTCACTATTCCGCTCTTCAACCTCCAGACGACAGCGAGAGCGGCGAGGAGAGACGCGGCGGGATCGGCGCCAAAGACGGATTCCGATATCGAAAGGATTGGGAGCAGGATTTTCCAAGTTATATTCCCGCCGCGAGCTATCCCGAGATTCGAACGTACTCCATTACCGACCGCTTTGAACGGGTTTCCGTGAAAGTTACACCTTCTCGCGTGTACTTTCTCATCAACTTGCACGGCTCTGGTACTTTGTATCCGCTCGCGCACATTTCTCGATAAAGAAAGCGCATCCCGGATATTACTCTAATCCGCGGAAAGCATACGCGCAGGAAGTAATATCATCGACATACTTCTTTTATAGACGTCGTCTAACGCTCACGAGGAGCTTGCCCTTCTTATCCCGCCGGAAGTCGAAATGTCGTATTTACGTTCGCTGTCCGATCGAGTCTCGCGATCCGTCCGTAACGAAGCGCTCGAAAAAGGATATGCGGTAGCCACGTGTCATAAAACCGGTACCACGCGCGCGGAATAGCATGCGGCAACGCTTTCGCGATTGGCTCATGCATTTTTCAACGGTCGTAGCATTTGTTTGATCAGACGTGCAGCCCCTTCGGGCCGCACTTTTCGTCGAGTTTTGCGAGTACGTGTCTGCGAACCGGTTCAACGTGTGGGTGTTTAAATAGGTAGATGGATAGTAACCGGCCCTCGGTCGCAAGTTCGAGACTCCGGAACGAGAGATCGATCGGATAACATGCTCTCCCCTTCTCTTTGCCATCCGCGAAATAGCGACCCTTTAGTGCTCGCGTTCGATCTCATCGACGCGAATCGTTTCTTCGCGACGCAGAGCTTGATCGATTTCTCGAGCGAAACCCGCCATTTCTCTCTTTGCCTTCCGGCTTTTGCCTTCCGGCTCTCGCCTTCCCATTCAACGTTCGCGAGAGAGGGTAACGCTCGTCTTAAAATTCCTTTTTAAAGGCGCGGTAAATTAGTCTACCGCGATCTTTTTTCGGTTAAGGAGAAGAACGATAATCTACTTTTCACAAAAGCAAATGTTATCGCTCTGCCATTCGTTGTATTATTTATTATGAGGGATATTATTTCACGAATTATCGAATATCTTTAAACTTTCTACAAATTCCGTTTCTAAAACCTTTTATATATGTACGATTTCACATTTTAACTCCATTATTATTTTCATACATGTATTTTAGAAAATGTACATATGTTAAAAATAAAGATATTGACATATTGTATGTTTTTATAAACTTTCTTTTTATATTGCGCAGAAATTAATTTAAAAATATAAAACACATGAATGATGAAAACATAATACACGACATAATATTTAAAAATAAAAACAAAGCGACCACAATTTAAAACTGAAAATATAAATTAAACAGAAAGTTATTCGCCAAATAAAATTCTGAACAAATTAAACCTTGCAAAACAATTGTACGTTTAATTTATTCTTTGTAAAAATTTTTCTTGTGAAACTGATTTTATTTATTAGAAGAGTCTATAAAAAAAGACAGCTGAATAAAAAAAAGAGTAAAATAAAAAAATATGGAAACAAAAATATAGTAATCAAACTATATTTATAAATACGTCCAGTCGTAACGAACATCCGAGAATAACGAGAGAAATCGAGCATCATGATGATAGATAAAATTTTTTTTCAAGTCGATGGTACTCACCGATCACAGTCAAATTGTATCGAAAACTGCGTGTCTGGCCCTTCCGGAAATCCACTCTGCATCGATATGTCGCTGCGTCGTGCCGTTTTATATTGTCGATCACCAGAACCGCCGGGCTCGGGAAAGTGGTTCGGAATAAGGCCCGTGGGCCAAAAACGCCGGGGTCCGATGAATGTTGCGCCTTCGTCACCGGTTTATCTCGCGCGTCGATCCTGTAACGAGAGGGAAGAGTTGTTAGAAACTTTTAAAAATTCTACACATAGTCTATGTGTGTGTGCGTGACACTAGAACCTACCACAGTATTTTTCTTTTATCAAATTTTTAAATTAAAATTATTTTTCGATATATTCAGTTTTATTTATTTATTTATTATTTATTATTATTATTTATTTTACTTATTATTTATTAATATTTATTATTTATTATTTATTTTCATATTTTATAAATATTACAATATCATATATAAATATAAAATAATATAATATTATTTAATATTATTTTATACATAACATTTTGTATTTATATTTATATTTATACGTACTTATATGTTAAAATTTGTACACATTGTTTTTTTTTATTATATAATGATAGATTCTTTAATTTTCAAGTAAACGTTGTCCATTGTTCAAATTCTTTTGTATTTCGAAATTTTTGTCATTCGTGTGCAAGAAAATTATCAGAAATTTCGAGAATTCACGGCACGATCTATGTATTCCGATATGTACATAGAAAACGATCGCAATTTCCGACAGCGAAATTCTAGCCATACGTAAAGAGGTTTCATCAAGCGCAACGCGAACAATAGTATCGCGCGCTAAAGGAGAGAAGGGAGGGGGTTGAAAATGGCGTTGAAAAAAAATCTGCGTTACGATTCATTGATCGCCGCAGCGAATCGTGGTAGTATTGACTATTATTCGCTTATGAGTTCGATATAATTATTTCAAATCGATGGAATAATTATCGTGCGCGCAGGGAATGGAACGCGTGCAGGTAGCCGGCGATAACGCAATTAAATCGCAGCCGCGCGTTATCCGATATTTTGAACGGACACCGCTCATTTCCGTTTCATCGATATCGCATAGATACCGCGCATAGTTGAAGAAAAATAACAAAAAAGGAAAAGATGGAAAAAGAAGCAACAGCCGATCACCACCGATCGAATCGAACCGCGGTTCTGGCTGATTACAATAGATAATTGGAAAATATAATCAAGCCGCTATGATCGGTGTAATCTACGGCATTTACGTTATATTACGGTTTAACGTTCGCGTGAAATACGCGTTTCGCGAAATTGAGCGAGCTCCCTGATACGCGTTGCAGACGGTTGAATAAAATTCCAATAACCATATCTACCAGCGATGTTTCTTAAATTTCAGATATAAACAATGAGATTTTTTTTGCAAAGCCGGGCAATAACGATACAATAACAGTGTATGAAATAAATTTGCGAAATGACAGAAATCAAAGAAAGCGACTACAAATGAAATAAAATTGAGAGAATAAAGAGAAATATTCCGTAGTTGATTTTTGCCGTTTCGTGTTTCGCGATAATTCCGAAATGAGATTTTATACGAGAGAGCACGTTCAGCGATTCCTGTTTGACATTAACTGCAATTATATGTTCGCGTAATATAGTAACTATATATTAATGGAAACGTAAAATATTTCCCTGTAACGGCACGATATCGGGTTTCGTTTGACATAAATGCAATGTCAAAAGCTCCCGTTGGCGAAATTACTGTATTTTATTAACGAAAGTGGCGATATATGCTTTACGCGAAATCCACGATTAGCGCGGAAGAGAAGAATTATTATTATTGTCAATCTGTATTCAGCCGAGAGCGAGAAAAGGTATCGTTACTCGTATCATCATGGAACCGCCATGAATAACATCATATGACTATAATTATTGTATTTCCTCTCGACAAAAATCAGATTCGATGTAACTGCAAGGCACATAACGAGAATCTACGTGTCTCTTGATATTTATAGAATAAGTTGCAAGATGTAAATTGAACAATGAAAATGTGCACGTGACCTCTAAATCATGCAGCTTCCAAATCTGTGAGAATCGTGTAAAGAGTTTTGTTCGTTTGAGTAAAAATTTCTTTTTTTTTTGGCTTCCTGTGCACAGAAAAAAATAATTGTCAAATCAAAACTTATATACTTAAATTAACGCGTTCATTATTTCATATATACGCAACAATTTATAATTTTCTTAAAAGAATTTAATAATTTTAAATTTCAACAATATTATAGTCTCATTGTAATTGTCACCTCAAGAATATATAATTATTTAATTTTACTTTAAGAAAATTATAATCTTTGATTTAAAAATGTTATTTCCTATCTAACATTGTTTCCTTTCCATTCAAGAAAATTAAATCTTAAATCATAAGAATATATTTTTCTCGATCGAACTATATAAAATGGCTTCATTCAAGCAAGCAATTATTCAAGCAATTATATTTTTCTTTAATTAACGCAATATAATCTCATTTCAAGATTCATGTTAAAACTAAAGACATTTTCAAAACAAGAAAGTCCTTTTTTTCTGTGTGAGGTTTACGTAAGAATCTCTCCTCAGTCCTCTCTCCTAGATCGCGCATAACGATTTATGCGATAACAGAATGCAGGGAATGCGGCCGAAAAGCGGCGAGAATGGGACAGGAGACTCAGAGACGAAGGGGCGAGAACGTACGAGGGGCAATAAGGAAATGCGTATTTCTTTCTCTCTCCCTTTATATGATCCAGCGGAGGACCTTCCCCTTCGCAGACGGCACTCTCGATTCACGTCAGCGTGGCGTCGGGGTAATACGGAATCGATGTCTGTTTTATGAAACGTTTTATCTTGCCGCGCAGCCAGCTTTCCAATATTTCGTTCGACTCTCGTCCGCCTCGTTCGCGATCTTTGCCCCCGAACTATCGTTTCCTATATTCTCACCGTTATTCCTTTTCGCTTCATCACGTCGACCATTCTTTCCCTACGTTTCGCTTCGATTACATCTTCTCGAGAATGATATATATTTTTTTAAGCTTGTGTGTGTGTGTGTGTGAGTGTGTGTGATTCCGAATCAGGATCGACGTTTTTTCAGAATGCGAGACCCTACGCTGAACTTTTTTGAAAGAATAACGCGAATAAATATCAATTTCCAGATGTATTATACATGTTTCCGATGTATATCAATAAAAGAGAAAATTATCTTTTATAGAATTGCTACAGCATTTCAAAAATATAGTTCAATGGAAAAATTATTTGTACTTCGACATCAGGAAAAGAGTGATCTAGTTTCTTTGAAGCTGAATATACAATTTCGACTTCCAATTTGCAACCATCACGTTATAAAAATTTTGAGAAATTTTTTATTAAACTTGAAAATATAGAGCTATTTAAATATTAATATTTTATCATTAAACATTGGAAAGTTTCGATCACTAAAGATCTATCAAATAGTTTTTGATTATGTTTATTAAAACTTAAAAACTTTTTAAGTCTAATTAAATTTTGATATCTCAAAAATGACAAATTTAAAATATATGCGAAGCTTAAATTTCTGCAAAACTTCCGGACACACATTTTTTTAAATTTTATTATTAATCTCGTTATATTAATTATTTTAAATTTATTTTTCAATATTGACAGCAGATTTATGCTTATTTACAAAATTTTTAAATTTAAATAGCAGTAATTGTAAATTATATTTAGTAGCTTAAATAAAATATAAAACAATAATAAAACCAAATATAAATTAATATTAAATAATAAAGAATAATAAAATAATATACATAAAAAATCCATTTTTACAACTTTACTTATAAATTTCTCAAAATCATTATATGATGCAATTTGGAATCCATTGTATTAGCCTAAAAAAACTGTGAGAAATGATGGTTCTTTTCTTGTATGTTTCTTTTTTTAAACAGCATGATATCAGCTGGAAAGATTAAAACCCACGGTCTTAAAAGACGATAAGATAAAGAATAGTCTTGTGGCAAATATCCGATGTGTAGATAGATGGTATGTATCGAGAATTCACGAGCGAACGATATATCCTTCTAGTCGCTAATAGATTTCGTTCACGACATAGAATATTGAAGAGAGAAAAGGAGAGAAAAGAGAGAAAGAGAGAAGGAGGGAGAGAGATAAAAGAGGAGGCCCGTGTTTAAGGATCTATTCCATCTTTTTACCGACACGCATAACTGGAAACGTGCGGCATTATTTCATATATTTAGGTTGGATAATTTCGGAGTACAGTCGAATTCGTATTTTCAATATACCGCCCTAATCCATGGTCTCGTGCACGAGTCGCTCCTTCCCTCGTGCTTTCCCTCGCTGACGTTATACGCCCTCATAAAAAATGATAAATGTCCGAGCAAAGGGTAAATAGCAACGGAATAAATGTAACCATCCGTTAGCGGCTACTTTGCATAGCGTGCAAGAAAATTACACGTTTCCAAATATTTATTGGCGCATTAATTTCGTCACGCGTGTCGTTAACCCTCGCGCGATGCGGCGGGAGGGAGGGGAGGAATAGCAGGGGTTTGGTAATAATCCTGGTCGCGTCGTTGTTTACCGTGGCGAGCCGGGATAAAGTCGCCGGGCAACCCCTTTTACCGTTTTCTAGATTACATGAATTTCGAGAGCGACTCTCTCTCTGAGTGCTTTTTAATATTTTGCTCCGCTTTTATCCGCGCTCTCCTTGTGTGCGTTTGTATACGTGCGTGCTCTCCCCCTCCCTCTTCCCTCTTCCCGTCTTCCTTTGCACGCGTTCTTTCCTCTCATCCTTTTCACCTCCCCCCTGCCCGACCGAGAGACAAAGAGTAAATAGCGAAGAATAAATGCATGACACCCAGTTTACGGTACGCGTACAATGAAATTCTTTTTCTTTCTTAATTCGCGCAGTTCTGTGTTAATTTCTTTCGCGGAAACCGTACTTCTTCCCCGGTATTTTACGATATCAACCGGTTAAATTATCTAAACCTTTGTAGCGCTTTTATGACTGCCTTCATCAAGTCAACGAGGCTGTTGCGTTAACATAAAAATAAGCAGACGCGATATTTTTTTCACGAGAGAAACCTTTTCATGCCTTTACGCTATAACGTGCAAATATTACGTTATTCTAATGAATCTTCTAAAAGTATATAAGTCTATTTTTAAATGTAAATTCGTCAAACAGAATTTTTTACCTTCAAATACCTACGATCGCTGACG